ACACTCCAAGAATTCCAAGACTTTCAGGTACTACAGGACAGTGTGGGATTTCAAGGAAACGAGAAAATCCAAGATTTCCAAGCATTTCAAGCAATTTGGCACTCTCATTGATTTATATGAAATCAAGAATTTCAAGCCTTCCAATCTCCTGAAATTCATTTACCTGTCCCCCTGTGCTGTGGTGGTTTCGTTTAGTTATAATTTCCGTTGAGTGAAGCCTTTCATTAGTATTTTTATTATTCTCATTGTTCTTATTAATTAATTGTTTTTATTTCATTTAGAGAAAAACACACACAGCGTGAAAGATAAAATTAATAAACTTGTCATGAAACCAGTATTCTTATGCATTTAAATCGATATTGAATTTTTCGCATTCGATGATTTCTATAATCGACGAAAAAGAGATTGTCGTGTGGAACGAATGACAAATTGAAGGACTGATTGAGTTGGTTCGATTGTCCTTCTTCACTGTTTTCACCAACAATGACACTGTCCTGTGTGGCTCTTTCGAGCTATCGCATGATTCGATGGTAAATTGCATTTTCGTGAAATTTTGTTTTCGCTGATTCCAATGCCTCTGAAGCAATTTATAACCGAAAACTACTGAATCAAATATGATCCGTTCTATATTTAACACTTTATTATAATTAATTAGTTTATTAACAAATCAATTGATTACCATCTAAGTTGGTAACCATCTGAATTGGTAAGAGTAGGTATGGGTGTAGGCATGTATTAAAATAAAGAGAAGAGTCAAGTCCACACCCTACACCCACTCTTACCAACTCAGATGGTAATCAATCGATTTGTTAATAAGCTAATTAATTATAATAAAGTGTTAAATATAGAACGGATCATATTTGATTCGATAGTTTTCGGTTATAAATCCCTTCGGCGATATTGGAATCGACGAAAATCGTAGTTGGCGAAGAAGAATTTCGGCAAAAGTGGACTAAACCGATTCGATCATTTCTTCGGTCGGGCACATAGACAGTGTCCAATTGATTGACAACGACTCCTCTAGGATATGCCCATTGCATCACACGATGATTTTCATACCCAGACACGTATACTGAATGATCTCGATCGACGAATACGTATTGTGGGCGATAGAGTTGATCGAGACGATTTTCACTTCCATTGCCACCTGCAACTACTGTTCCTTGAGATTCTTCTCTTCCATATCGTCTCACTTCATGTTTTCCTTCATGAACGACATAGAGAGATCCATTCTCATCCATTGTCAAATCTCGACAATCGATTTTCGAGATGATTGTTTCTCCATTTGTCCCACTTCCTTGTCCATTTCTTCTAGTCATAGTGACACCATTCTGTTGCCATCGAGCATTTGGATGAATGTCAATTGAACTTCCATGTAATGGAGCGACTTAAATAGAGAGAAAAAAGTGAAAAGTTCATTCGAATTTTCGCAAAATCAACAACATCGTTCCAAGTTTCAGCTCGTTTTTGAATTTTCTCTTGTTTGATATGAGTGTGGATGTCTTCTCAGTGTCAACACCCATATTCTTGACAGGATGAGTGGAATATTAAGGCTACACTCACTGTCAGTCAATTTTTGTCATTGTATTCTTTTGCTCGTGAACAAGAGTAAAAAGAAAAACTAAAAGAAACAAAATTCTATTATGCCCTAAATAATGACTAGAAAGATGAAGGACTTCCATTATCGGTAAGGTTCGAACGCTTCACATACATTTGCAATTTCGATGAAAATATTAAAAGTTTAAAGATTAACCCCGCATTCAGCCAGTCACTTGAGTTGCCGATCTACTAACCTTATATTAACTATTAACTGATCATACAAAAATAACCGGTGCAATCAATTGCTAAAAAATATGCCAAGTAAATGTATGAATGAAAATGAAAAGACTACATAAATAAAGAATCGGTTACTACCCATACTGTAAATGAAATATAAAAACGTCTAAACATATGAGAAACTTGATAGAAAAAAAACGCACTGATGAACAAAATAGAGTTTAAGAGAAAATCGAGATTAAATACACATTTTAACTCGAATGTTAGATTACTCTAATGCCTCTTTCGTTGTTAAAACTCCTTATATACTAAGACTAAATGGTGAACGTGGAATCATTTCATAAATGACTACTAGTACCAATGATTATCAATTTATACTAAGAGAAAAAAGTACGTTAAGAATAAGCATTTCATTGATAAATATGTCTATACTTGAGTTGACTCATAAATAATTATTACTGACCTCGTGATTTTGTATTCATGTTGAGTTGCATTGTTGAAAAATGTTCTTCCATGGCTTCAGCATTAGGTTTGACTGAAACCGCCATTGATACTACTATTGGTGACGATGGCACTTGAAAGTTGTTTTTGCGTTTAACCAATGGATCTGGTAATGGAACTGGTTCTAGAAGATTGTATTGTGGCTTCGGTTCTTCGAGTTGTACAATATGAAGTCCATGGCCAGAATCGAGACAAGATTTGACTTGAAATTTTCTGTGGATTAATAAAAGTACTTCAGCTTCATCAGCTATAAATAAATATTTTTTGATGTCCTTTGCTGTTGTACACTCTATTTGATATAGAGTTCCATTTCCAGTTTTGTCGAAAAACTGCTCGTTCTTCAACACTCCCACTGATGAAGTACACGATGAAAATCCCCACCAAATGGAAGTCTTGCTTTTTAGATAATCAGCCCATAAGTTTTCTCGAACTTCTCGAAAAACGAAACGGTATTTTGATGGAAGACGAGCCAATGCCGTCAGTATGAGCCGAAGATAGGGAAACCATGGAATTAAATTTTTTTGTTGTTTGGAACGCAAACTTTCGTTGAGTTTAACGTACAACGAATCTTCATGTGGCATTGATTCATAAGTATAAAGCATAATTGCAGCCGATTCATCAGTTGTTAAGCCATCTTCGGATTCTTGACATTTTTTTTTGACGATCTTGACATTTCGCTCCACTTTCGGTACGATGTTGACGAGAGGCTTCACAGCTTCTTCGAGCGTTATCAACGGTATCTTTTCATAACCTTCGATTGGTGCTAACATTCGTTTTGGTAATGCACCAAAATCAGCAAAGCGGAGAACACCATTGCCAAAAGCCATTTGAAAATTCTCCATCTAGAACAAAACATTTATGATATCTTTTGACATTCTCTAAATCAGATTGTAAAAGACATTGTTCTACAATATACTATTCAGTACATCAAGCTATTCATTACTGAAATAAAAAGAGCGTGAAAACAAGTTTTCACTCTTACAACAAATGAACTACGTACAATCAATGTAATATTGACTTAACTTTCTCGATATTTATTAATCAAATAAAAGTTTCATATCAAAAAATTCTTTATTCAATTCTTCATAATCTTGTAAACAACATTTTAAAATCAAATGGATTTTGTTAACAACTGATAAGAAAATTTGGTAAGTTGCAATCTTCAATATTTTATGAGTAAGTTTAGAATGTAAAAGATGACTGAATAAGAAAACTGTTCTATTCGATCGAAACGGCTAACGTCTATGTCCGTATATACGTATATGAACATCAATTAAACTGATATGCATACATAAATCGATCGACTCAAACAATACTGGTCATTGGCTTCAACATGATGTTCTTCTCGATCGTTGTTAACATTAGGATCATATTAGCACTATATATATTACTTCTAACATATCTAATTTTCTTTTCAAATCATTCTAATAAATAGCTTACCACAGTCCAATAATATTCACTAATGAGTCGTGAAAATTTCAGCGAGACGTTGCAGTAGGTTTTGGTCACGTTATACATGTGACATGTTTGGTTTATTCTGTCGAATGTGCGTATGTTACTTCTGAAAGATAGAGAAAATTTACCTTTCTTATCTGCCTTTTTTCTTTTTTTTTCTTTTATATGGATGTCTTTCAACTACGAACGTTGTTGAGAACGATTGCGCTTATCAAAAATAAAACATTCAAGCTGACAAACACACGATGAGTATATGCGACGAAGAAAAAAAACCATAGTCGTAATTGAAGCTTCATTGCGAATGGAGTACAAAAGGGTGCGGATGAGTGAGAAGAAAATCCGAACTCACCCACCGATTGAATCACATCCACGTCTGAAACCTTTCGCCGTTTTTTTAGAGAGATAGGTTATTACCATGAAGCTTTTCTCAGACCTTCAACACCTTGATTGATTCCCGTAAGTTTTCACGATCCCTCGAAAACATTCCTGTGTGGTGAGGAAGCTGCCGCCGACACACAAAGACTTTAGTCAACGTTCTGAATTTTCTACTGTTACGTTACTTTCGTATGCATTCCTCAAATTCTTCTACGACCTGAAGGTTTTCACCTTCTCTTGCGAATCTAAATCGACTGTATGAAAAGCCTCACAGCATCTGAAAAATTGGTTGATTACCCGAAATTTTCGTTGTCTTTTCTATATATTGCGCAGCGATAAGTAAGCTTTCGCAACAATGGATAGATATTCTTCTCTGAGATAGAAAAAGTTTTCACCAACATGCCGAGAGATGAATCCGTACAATATGGCTTTTCTCGAGCACCTGGCGTACTGATCGCTTGGTTGATATTTTTTCTATTCCGCTGAAATATTTTTCCACGATCAAAAGTGTTTCGCCGTTACTCACACATATTACTGGAAAGTTGAAGTTTTTTTGGTGTAGGTCAACCGATAACAGGTTTCTGAAGCTATTTGCTTTTTCTCTCACCAATTCATTTGAGACTGGAAAGTTTTCGGAGTAATCCAGAGAGAGATGAATCAGTATTCTAGGAATCTGCTCAAGAGTCGTGCACTCTAATTATTTCCGGGAAAATTTCGCAGCCTTTCTAGAACATGGTTGTGTGATC